AACAACAATTTCGTAACGTTTCCGCGATTGATAAATTATTTTTAATTGTTTTCCGTTTCAACACGCGCGCCCCCGACACAGACGGGCGAAACTACGGGCGACTGTGCACAGCCAGCCGCGCACGCGAGCGGATTTTTTTTTTCCCGTTCCCCGCGGATTGTTAATTACGTTTCTCGGGGGTTTTTATCCCCTCCCCCATCTTTCCCGTTTTTCGTTCAATGCACGTTTTCCCTTCGACTCGCCGATAAACACTACCAACAACAGTGGCTCAACCATTATCCCAGGACGAGTCGTGTTTCGATATCGATATTTCCGTGCGACAATATGTTCTGGCCGTCTCGGTTTCTTTTAGCGCCGCGTCCCGGTTTACGGTAACGGCGTTGTCGCGCAGTCCGGTCCGCCCCGGCGGGTGGCGGGTCCGATAACCGCGGGGCCCCGGCGCCCGTCCGTCGCCCGCGAACGCGTCCCGCCGGCGAAACCCTCCGCGTGTAACCGATGCGCGGCGATGGTTGCCGCGCGCGCCGCCCGCGGACGGACGGGTCGAACGGCGGGCGCGCGCGTTTCCCGACGCGATAACCTAACCTGTCGAGCACATCGCGCGGCGCTTTAAAAACGACAATTGGCCGCCGCGATATCATAGCGGTGCGCGCATTCGCGTCCGCCCGTAACGCGGCATTATCGTCGTTGCCGTCGGTTATTGTTATCTACGACGGTTCGTATGGGGGCACAGACTGGCGCACGGTCGTCTACAACGGGGCGTACGAGCGCGGTGCACGGCGTGCATAAATATTTATTTTTTACCGTTTGTGCGCGGTGTTTGAACGCCGCGGTTTGCGTACCGCGAGCCCGTCGCGGTACAATAATTGTAGTATAACGCATCGCCGGTATAAATAACAGCCGTCGGCAATATTATTACGATAATACAATGTGTGTGTGTGTGTGTGTGTGTGTGTGTGTCTTCGCTCTATTATAATATTATACAAACGCGCGCGCCGTACGGGTGAAACGTCGTTTGTTATAATACGCGTATAATATACGCGAGCGCGGTCGGTTAGTATGCGCGGATCGTGACGCGGACGGTGTGGGAACGTCCGTGGCCGCCGCGGGTCGCCGCCCCGCGTTCGTCGTCATTAGCGGCGGCGGCACCGCTTTTCCGGGGGGCCCCCGGGGCTCGTGTACCGGACGAGAACAGCCGCCACGGCAGATAACGCATCTCCGCCGCGGTCTGCGGAGGAACGGAAAAACGCGGGCCCCCGCGACATTATAACGACGACGATAACGCTACGGGCGCTCCGCTCCGCTGAAAAATAATATTTCCAACGCGCGACGCGATCCGTGCGGGTACGACGAGCGCCACACGCTGCGCGACCGTATTATTTGATGTTTACGATAACGTCGTCGCCGTCGTCGGTACGATTGCGACGTTTCGCGCCGGTCGCGCCGGTACCGCACGCGGGCGCGTACGCCGCGGTCCGCCCGTCGGTCGGGTACTCGGCCGCGCGACCGTAATTACGGGGCCGTAATTGATATCGACGACCGCCGGGCGTCGCGCGCCGTACAGCATTCGGCGGCGGCTCGTGCGCGGGTGCCGTTTTTAGCGGAATGATGTTCTTTGAATTTTTTTTAACGTCATCTGAATGCTATTACAAAAAAAAAAAAAACGATTCGAAAATATCTGTCGGTAAATAACTGTCGTGTCGCAACCGTCATTGCTTTAATAATATGTATTGTGTACGTATATATTTTACATATTTGCCCGTCATGGCGAATTATTTCCGTTTATAATCCACGCGTCGTTTTCGAACGAAAACTCTCTCTTTACGCCGGCGGTTTTCGTCGAACTTTTTCCGACCACCGGCGCGCTTCGCTTTTCGCGGCACATTGTGGCCCCTTTTTTTTTATTTTTCACAATTTAAGGAAAACGTACTTCAAACGACCGCGGCACGTGTAGCGAATGCTCGCGGCACCCGGTTCGACCGCCACTGTTACATCGCAATCGGATTCTCGTTAATTATTAATTCGTGCGCCGCGTATTTTTAACGCCAAGAGCCGCCGTCTAATTCGTATTGACGACGCGCCGGCTGTCGCGAACGGAAACCCGTTCTTTCGCAATTATTATTGTCGCGACTGAAACCGACCGAATCGTACGCGAACCGCACAGAGCGTCTTCGCGCGTAACCCGTAACGAAATCTGCTGTACGCACGCCGCACGAATTTACTGTCCGAATCACGGCGAGCACGCGGTACATCATACGGCGTATGTGCACACGTCAACCGCGGTCCGGTGTCCGTTTCCCCGTTCGCGATTGGCCGGTTTCGGTTGCGCGCACGCGCGCAAAAACGTCACATCGCTTTTGCAATGATTAGAATACCGTCGCGCGCGCTCGCATTTACCTACGGACCGTCGGCGGCGTTTCAGTGGGCCGACGCGGCGCGTCGCAAAACGGATTTCGTTTTATTTTTTCCCGTTCTCCGGTAGTAACGTTTTGCCGCGTACACCCCGCGCGGTTTTCGAATTGCGAATCGAGGGCCGTTGCCGGACGACCGGCGAGACGCACTGGCCCGCGGGGCTGTCCGACGGAAGCGGTCGGCGGCCCCGCGACGAAGAAATTCGAATCGATTGAGAACGGCGACATCGCGCACGCCGTGCGTACACGCGAGGACGCGGCGCCGGTGAATTCGAACGCGGTCGGTACGCCGCCCGGCACACTCATTGCGATCGTACCGCACGGAACGCGGCCGTGTTCACGCGACAAACCGTAAAACACGCGAATGGTAGCGGTATGAAAACTACATACGAGTACGCCAAGCGAAATGCTGATCGCACTGTACAAAGGGTAACGATTTCGCTTGTAATATCGGATCACGCGCGGGAGTGATTTCGTTCAGTGTTAACAACGAGGATAAAATCGATAAAACAAAGCGGTTCTGAAAAAGAAAAAAAAAAAAATCGTTTTTCTCAAAATTATCACAACGCACTTTTTGGCATAGGAGCGCGATGGGCGGCTAAACGTGTTTTGCGCACGACTGTTTTTTATTTTTTTTTTTTTTTCAATCATGTATAGCACTACCTGCCCACCCGTCACCGGGTGTTAGGAAATATCACGAAAACCCGCGTGTTCTTATTTTTTATTTTTTTTTTTTCAATCTCCGAATCGGTTCGCGGCTTTTCTCCGTTCGTTTCAATCGTCCGCTTTCCTCTTCAATCGCAAATACAATAATGACATCTTCGATCGTTTATTTGCCGCTTTATAATTATTAATTTCAGCGAGCATTCACGTCTGGTTGTAATTTTACAAATTTAATGTCCGGTCCACAGATTTCTTCTCGATATCATGATTCGCACGGTTTTTATTTTCGACATTTTATTTAGTATGCAATTGTTCATATTTTGTTATTCTCTCGGTCCACCATATTTTCGCGCGTTGAACAAATACGGACGCCCGTTGTTTTCGGACGAAACAATAATATTATTATGTTTTTGTAACATCATACGCGACCGATAATACTTTTAAGCCGCATGCGTTTTTTAACGTCGGTCATCCCAATAATATTGTTTTTATCCCGAGCGTGTAAAAATAATACCGCAATGTTTATCTAAAAAAATTCGTCGGTTATCGTGAGGACCGCGTGTTACGTTTTTGTGTTTATGTACAACTGTTTTTTTTTCCGCCTAGTCGAGCATCGCAAACAATGATTGCGTGCTGATGTATATCACTTAAAAAACGTTTCATTAAACAGCCATAATTGAAATTGCAGAGTTGATGACCTGGCGGCGGAGGTCGGTCGCTCCGGCGAAATACTTTCGACCGAGAAATTATCGCCGAGTTTGTCTTCTGTATAATAATAATAACAATATGATGCGAACGACGTATTTTGTAAAAATCCGGAGAGGAAAAAAATGTAATCTGACGTTATTTAAAAAAAAAAAAAAAAAACTTAGTTATCGTCTCGACGTGATCGAATTATAGAGATTTTTCTATACTGATAAAAATATGAATACTTAACATTTTTATTATTATTATTTCATTTTTTTTTTTTTTTTTTTTTTTTTTTTTTGAATTTTTTCCAAGATTCCCGAGTACCCATAGCTACAATATCCATACAGGTATAATAACATACAAGATTTTATATAAATCGACTCGAACAGCGGCGGATGTATTTTTAGATAAACATCACAAAAAAAAAATTATTCCTATTATTATCTATACGGCTAGTTAGTTACTTTAATGATAACGCGCGGATTTATACGTTTGCCTTAAATACAGCAATTATATTATTATTACTATAATAATAATACAAATTATGCTTTGTTTATTCAAATTTTATTTATTTTTTTTTCAGGTGTGTTTTTTGATGTATGTGTTTCGACATAATTACTGCACACGGCTGTCCGGTTGTGCATGCGAAAAAAATCGCGGACGCGAAAAAAGTAAGTACTTATAGAAAATGCACAAGTATTTATTTAGTTTATGCCCGGTTTTCCAATCACGCAATTATTCTGTAGCCTTCGCCGTGGTCTTTAGTTAGGTAAATTTTAAATTCAAATTGAATGAACAGTAGGTAATCCGAAACTGTCAACACAGTGACACAATGCAAAATATTTTCGTAATTGAAATATGATAAATAATGATATAAAGACCGTAAAAATAATATTTACTTACGGTCTATAAGTTATCTGTCGAATAAGAGTTATTTGTTATTAAAAGTAACAGATAACTTATCCGTTGCTATACATTCGATTACACTAATAAATTTATTCCAAAAATTGAAAAAACCTATCGTTGTCTATTTTTTCTTATCTATCAAATAACTCGTGTTATCTGACAGATAAAATGTGTGATTGAAAAACCGGGCCTTAGACATGTCGCAGTATACCTACCGACATGAATTATTGACCGAATCGCAGTGTAGTTCACCTCGTAAAAAAAAAATAATTTTCGTTTTACATTAACCTCGCGTCGAGAATTTACGTTTTTTTTGTCTAAATTTCACATGGAAGTGTGTGTGTGTGTATAGTGTGTATGTATATATATATTATACACACACACACACACACACACACACACACACACACACATTGCTCCGCACGTCCTTTGCCTATTGAACACGTTATAATAATATGCTCGTCGACTGAGTTTAACTAATGTAACGTCATTGTCAATATATAAGATGACGTCATCGAGGCGTGATAATTTTCATTATTCACTATTCGTATACAATGCAATGATAATTGTTGTTGATTACCTACAATATATATTATTACATACGTAGGTACATGCGCGACAAAATAATAAAAAGGCAAAATTTTTGTCAGTTCGTCGTACATTGGTTAATTTTGAATGTTTAACAATAATGCTGTATGGTATTTATTTTATACTTTTATATTTTACATTCCGAGCTAAAAGAGGCGACGGCTATTTGTTTTAGAACGACGTTTTTTATTTTTCTACGTACCTTGATTTTCGAATAGATTTAAAATATTCCGGTAAAATTAAAAAAAAACCGTGTGTTTCCATTTTCGATATTCCACCCAAAAACAAGTAAAACGACATTGTTACTGGGGAACACACGGTCTTAGCGTATTTCAATATAACGCGTCAAGAGGGATATACGAAAAAGAAAAAATACTCCTGAATTCAAGAAGCAGAAAATACGAAACACATTCCTTGTTCCCCGACATTCAATGGAGGAGGTAGATTTTGGAGGTGGTAAAGTTGCCGCGAACACGCCTCTAAGGAAAACAATATAATGCTCGGCGTGACTAAAATTCCGTGATGGAGAACATTAAAACGGACTGAACAAAAGCTAGGGCTATATCGTGGGTCGTGTCCAAAAAGTTTTCGAAGTTATATGCGTGCAGCATACACGCACGAGAAAAGGGGCGCCCGAATGTGGTGATCAATCGGGTACGACTACAATCGAATATTGACCTAGTACAGGAAAGTTTTCCGAAATCGAAAAAGTTTCTATGAAGTATTTTAAGGGTACGTGAGCTTTACTCCAAAAAGCGGAAGCTTTTATTGTGCGTCGGAAGAGTAATAAAGATTGAAAAGCGTGCGAGTCGTAAATTTCGTGGTTTTTATTAAACAATTCGAGATATATTACATGCTAAGGTAAAAATTCTGGTGTACATAAAACTTATTCCGTGCGCATTGAAACCCATCCATAAATATTGTATACCCCGGAACTTCTCTGTAAACTTATATAATATTTTTAACGAAATTCAGAAACTCGGTTCTAAAGATTAATATCCTTGGTCTACAATGAGGGGTTTCTAATTTTTATTAGAAATATAAGCAAATCCACAGTGTCGGAAATTAATAAAAAAAAATACAAAATACAAACTAGCTAATACACTGCTAAAGAGTAAGTAAGCATGGTTGCAGGTGAAAAGTTGAAAAGGTAGGATACACATAGGGTTATTTAATTTATATTTGTACGCAACGATAAATCATTGTTAATAGAGTACGACTCTGAGCGAAGTTCGGTTATACATATATTTTGAAATGATTTTTACGATTTTCGTCAAAATATGAACTTAAAACGTTTATGTGTAAAACAAATTGATACATTAGGATTAAGTTTTTTTTTTTTTAAACCTACTCACATTCTTACATACCCACTAGCAAAATTTTCTTTCAGAAATATATGTTACCTACAATTAAAAATCATTGTAATCGAATTGCCATATAATTTTTCGTTTTTCTTATACGTTTTTTTCCCGGTTGTTATGAATACTGCTTGGTAGGTCAAACAATGATCTCCCTAATGCACCAACTAAATTCAAAATTTTGTAAAAAAAAAAAAAAAGAGCTTTTTGTTATTTATTTATCGGAGCAAAATTTCTGGTAGAGAAGTTATTAACAAACTGAAAAAGAACACACATCATATAGTAAAATCAATATAATTCTCACTGCGCTTAGTCTAGAAAAAAAAAATTATGTTTTAGTTTTCATTCCTAATACTATTGGTATCAAACATCGATTCTCCCCACCATTTTCTGAGCGGCACCTTAACTATATCAAAACCGTGTTTTACTCAAATCCTATAAATAACAATTAATCATGTATATCACCGTAATAATATAATAGGAGTGTTCGCTATTGAAAAAAACAATTTGTTATTTTACAAACACACTCATCGATTTAGTCGTCGAGGTCGAATGCATCACACGAGTATTTCATAAATGCACATAGATTCGTATCATATAAATTGCACATTTTATTAGTATGTTTAATTTTCTTGGCGGACAATATTAAAACGAAATTACACATTATTGAAAACTCGGTCTCCTTGATATCGAATCCAAATAAACTATTACTTGCCGGCGTACTACTAGACTGTAAAATATTAATGTGATAAGCAGCTATAATTGATACGCGATCAGTTGCATACATAATCGAAGTAAAATTCGGTCGGAAACTCGGAACTCGTCGAGGTGCTGTATCGGGATATCGAATTTTGTATTTAATTTATAATTTCGTACGTAACGATAAGGCGCTATTAATTTTTTCTAAGATGTGGCCGACGGTACTTTACTTGAAGTAACTGTCTAGACTCTCAAAAGTTTTTCTAAAAAAACTAAACACGGCCAATTCTCTTATCTTATCGGTTTCCCGAGCTCTGTTCGGGAATTTTTTTTTTTTTATTGTGTTTATTTCTATCGTCGCTTTCCGTATACAAATTCAATTACCTTACGTCTTACATCCTTCCGATTTCTCACCTGTAACAGATGTCTACACTCTGGGGCGAAAATTATCCGACTTTTTCTTAATACGATATCCATTTATTTAAAATGATTGTAAAATAGAAAAATTGCATACAAAATACAAATGTTCGATACAATATGATTCTTATAAAAACCGCCTACACGAAGATAACCTTCGATCGCGGCGAGATATATTGTGAATAGGTTCGCCATGATTTCAAATGACTTTGCCTTAAAATTTAATAGTATTGGTTTGACGCCGTCAATATGAGAATAGTGTTTAATTAAAAAAAATAGGCCCGGTGTACACAAATCAGTAGAGGATACTTGAACATTATTGAAATAAATCATCTTAACACGATGTACCGCAAGCGTATTTCCATTCCATGACACGATATTAAAATATTATTTTAACCATTGTTCGAATTTATAGTTATCTACCTATACGTTTGGCTTTTAAAATAAACACGCGTACAGTACGGGCACGTAATATTATTATATATTATTATTATACTATACGTGTACAGACCTTCACGGTGGTTATGGAGGCAGGTAGTGAATTTTGACCTAACCTCTTTTTATCGTCGGATTATCTTGGTATTCGGGTGATTTGCTTTTTTCTAAAAATCGTGAAATCTCCGTGAAGTCACGGCAGGGGAAAAATTCGCTACCTTTCCCGTAGACGCTCGGCGTCTACGGACTATTTTTATAGTATATAAACATTATTTTATTACATATTACAACGATATTATATATTATCAGTGACGGGTGCGCGTAGTATCCGCACATGCGGATATTATATTTTGATTTTACTATTTGTATTTTAACCGGCAATAATATCAGTGTCGACGAATTTAACGCGCCAATGACTATCATGGGCGTGCAAATTCATACACATTTTAACGGTCCGTGACAAAATCGAAAGATAAACTTTTATGTCGAAGGTACCGTTATATAATATTATGTGAAATCCCTCGGGGACTGCGGGTATCTGTAATCTCGAGACGTTCTGACGGTCACAATGGTATAAATTCCCGCCTTTTTTTTCGGTCTATTATATGCTCTGTGGGTGCAGTACGTTATTATAAACACGCGAACGGGATATTATTATCATTACTATTATTGCAGCGTCTCTCGGCGTGCGGAATAAAACAGACCAAAAAAAAATGAATATTGTCGAGACGCGGAGCGAGAATATTATAAAAACTAAAGACAATAATAATATAATATACTGTATAATTGTATTATCCAGCATCGCTCGTGTGCAGTTTGCACGTGTAACACACTTACTATACACACATTTTGCATTTTTTTCGTACCGAAAAAGTTATTAATTGAATACGCTTAATTTTAGTCTTAGCCGTGGTATTGTTGATAATGACACGGAATTGTTGTCACCCGTCACAGCTTCGTCTGTTTTCAACGATAACTGATCGTCTAGGAGCTACACGATTATTGCAAATTTAGGAGGCGTAATACGTTATTGCGGCCGAACGCCGCACAAACTAGTGAAGCTCTAGGCGAAAACTCCTAGAAGTTATGCAATTTCACAATTTAAATATATCGTACTCCTCTTTCAACCCGGTTCGGTGTTGAATTTTGATAATCCCCCCCCCCCGCAACGGGTCTGTTCGTCATTTAACGAAGCTACTGTTCGAATTTTATACTTACAGCTTCGGCGGTTATGCAGAATCATTCAGCCGTTGAGAACGTGCAATACCGTACACGTAACATATACATAGATAATCTCCTCCTTCTCCTCCTCCTCGTCCTTCTATGCAAAGCTGCTATAGTCGTCCGCGACGATTTATGTACGGTTTTTATTTGTTGCGCGGCCTTTGACGGGATCTGATGTGATAGCAACTTAATATATTGCTGGTCGCAGTATGCTTATAATAATAATGATAATAAAAAAGTCCGTTTTTTCCCGCATCTCTGTATGATATTTATTTTTTGCGCCCGCGTGCGTCTATATCCTCGTGGCGTATTATATAAATAACCGTAAATCCGACGAGACAAATAAAACATATTGTTATTATATCCCGTCACATATCACTATTATGTGTATGTATAGCACAACCACGCAGTGGATTTATGTAAGTACGAGCATATAGCAGTACGCTGCCGACCGGCAACTACTGCAGCTCGCGTGTGCTGCTGCACATAATATTATTGTTTTATATAAAGAACAAGAGCAGCCAATTGTTCGCGTTTTAAAGACAATGGCCGACGGGAAATCAGCCCTTGGACCAGTGCCAGAACCCTTTTGCACGCCGCGATCGTCTCCTCGTCGTCAAAAGTCGCCGCAGTTAGCAGCTGCTGCGCTGCTGGCGATCGATCGTTTTACATACACGCGGATACTGCAGC